ATCATAATTGCCAGAGATGTCAATATTAAACTACAATAGTCGTTCATAGCTCTGCGGGTAACACAAGAAACTAGCACATGACTGACATTGGACTTGGTGATAGTTGGAGAATGACACTCTTTTGCAAGAGAATATTTGTATTTCTCCTCTGTTCATCTGTCTTCTCCTAGAATTGACCTTTTCTTGTTCAGCAACTTGCTTGCCCCTTACATCCACCAAAACACAATCAATACAATTACCATAAGCAATCACACTCCTGTATCTCTCACTACAAACATGCAATCAGTTACTGGACCTTCCACCCGATTGGGTTTCAACACATCCTTACTTCAAGACCCTGACTTTAATATCTTAATAATCAAAGAATGGGTATCCTTTATGGAAATAAATGACTCTCCAAAAACATTTCCCTCACAAATTTAGGAGGTAAAACAGTAATCAGAGGAATAATCATATCATACTCATCATGTAAAAAAACAATAACGTGAACATTATTTTGAAGACAGGATAAAGCTTGCTGAAAAGCCTTCGATCCCATAACCCTACTGAACAGATAAGAGAGGAACTTAGAAATGTTAAAGCACAACTTGGAACTATCACATCTATCTACAGTATGTGTTTTTCTTAATTGTTGAAGGTTGTTTTTGTCATCTATTCGTTTTGATTGTACTCTCATACTGTTGTACAATGACAACTTTCAATAAAGCAACAAAACAGGGACGTATTTGGCTAATTCAGTGTGTGGATCAGGGACAGATTAAGAATGCTGAGTCCACCGAGCACAAAATCTTGGAGGCCTCGCTATATGGAGATAGAATTATCTCAAAAATATTTATACATTTCGAAATGATATGTATAAATATGCATACATTTATAAATATACAAATACAAATCTACAAATATAAAAACGTGACAAACAAATAAATAAACTAATTTGTATAAATAAACGAGTATTTGTAAATATATTTTCGAGATTTGAAAATAAATATGCTTGACTTTGTGTGTGGATTCTGCATTTGTGGATCGCTTTTGTGCTTTTCTCTCGATGATGTAATTTTGAGACATTCTTACCGCACACCGCAATCCACAAACAAATACTCCAGAATTCGAATGCGAATACACCCTCCCCTGAACAACCAGTAGAAGGCAGTGTTGTGCAGCCACCGCTGGTTATGGTTATGGTTAGGTATTTGGCAGACGCTTTTATCCAAATTTACCGTCTATAACTGCTGCCAGATCAACAACATGGAAGCGAACAGTGGACTAACTGGATGGGTAAGTAATAACTAGTGATAACTCTTTCTTGTGGGTTGTAGTGCCATTTTTTTCATCTACTAGACAGTATACATATATATATATATATATTTATACATATCATTTCAATATGTATCTTTTTGAGACAATTCTATCTCCATATCCCTAAACCCAAACACTCCACGACACACACATGCACTCACACACAAACAGACACACGCGTGCACTGTACTGTGATGTTCCTGTTACAGGTTTTTGCGAGGACTACAATCTATTGGAAACACCTATTGGATATTGCAGCAATTCTGCTCTTGGCTAGTGCCAACAATATCAAAGCATTATAGCCGCCAGGATGTAGCTAAATGGTTGGCTATATGTATGTAGCACTCCACCTTGTAACTACGGATAGATTGTTGGTGGCAGTGTTGTAGTCGAGCCCACAAACCTCAAGACCGAGTGCACTTCCTGAGTCTCGTTCAAGTCCTTATGGTTGAGTATGAGCCAAGTTCCAAGATATTCTTCATTTTTTCACTTTATCACATTAATTCATAGATTTAATTGTGTTAAAAGCTTCTAAACTCAGCTTTAACTTTCTATTATGACTGAGTCTTCACATTTATTCTGTAGCTCAGTCTTGGAGGGTGTGACATTTTTAAGACACAGAGCCAAATTACCATTCCAATATTATAAATAAATTATGTTGCGCAGTGCAAGCTTTCAGAGGAAGGGCTTCTTTACCTATTTACTTTAAAACTGTTAACATTGTAAATGTATCTATGTTTGCATGTCACTTCAGCAAAAATCATAAAACTAAAACGTTTTAAACTGTTATACTTTTACAGGAAAGAGGAAACTAATTATCCTAATTATTATGCTGTATGACTGATTGTCTGCTGCCTTTTTGATGGGTCAAAAACACATTTCATTTGTTAATATAAGATTCTGAACGATCCTGTCAGGGTGACTTGAGATTGAAATGATCAATGAAGTAACAGCGCTGTGCATTGTGCATAAACGTTTATCTCACCCCTCTTGGGAAGATGCACTGATAGTTTCTGCTGCGGGGGTATCACTGCAGGTGTCTGATAAACTCAAAAGTATCTGCAACCCAACCATTTTTAATCAGAATTTAAAAATGTTAAACGCCATGGGCCAATCCGTAGTTACATGTCTGCAATCCGTTCATTACCAGGACACACAAACTGTTGCTAAATAAGACGTGAAGACGTGGAGGTGAACACACGTGCCAGCCTTTTCTAAAACGTTGTACATCATTAGGGTTATTTTAAAGAAATAACGAACAGAAACATGAACAGTCTTATCAGTAAATAAGTCAGAGTTCTGCTCTCCATCTTGCGAGTCCTAATTCAGTAAATGCTGGAGTCAGAGTCCAAGCCTGAGTCATCAGAACACAAGTACGAGTCAATCATGATTACTAAAAAAAAGAAAGGCTCCAGTCGGATTCTTGGACTTGGTTACTACACCATTGGGGGATTGGTTCATGTTGTTTTAGAAAAACATGTTTTGTGATAGCCTTTGTGATATCTTGAACACAAGTTACCTTTGTGGTGTCTTTCTGTCCTCTGGAGTTGTTATTTTAGAGAGAGGGCGTGTGTGCAAACCTCAGCATTTCTGAGGCTTCTATAAGGTGTTATGACTATAACTTTGTGGTAGCTTTATAACTTGTTAAAAGAGTAGCTTCAACTTATCATTTATTATCATGTTATCTCAGCATGTTTGCACTACTCACCACTGCACTACACTGTCTTATTCAGCCTTGTACATATTAGTGTAAGATGGAGATAAGACTTATTTTTGTGAAGTTTTATTTTATAGATCTTTATTTTTCTCAGGTTGAGATGATCTACATGATTTGCTTTAATGCTAATTCCATTCATATTTACATTTTGTACTTTGCAAGAGTATCTGTTTGATATGATGCACTATGCCTTTAAGGTTACTCATGGTTACAGTTGGAGGAGTGATATTGCTTTAAGACAAGTGAGGTATCACTTGTGTGTGTTCGGTCTGTGTATGTCATGCTTTGCTACGGACAGACATTAAAGTATACGAGACGCACAGCAGAAGTTGTCACCGTTTTTGCTTACCCACACGTGAAGATATATTCAATTCAGTATGTTTAGTGTTATAGTTAACGGCAAGACAACCCAGGATTAAATCAACACCGCCCAAGAAGTGCTGTTACATTAGTCTTTGCTTATTGTGTGTTTTACACCTCAGGTTACACCTTCCCATTCACACCCAACCACACACTGATTGCAGAAGCTGCTATATAAAGTGGCCATCAGTATTAACTGATCCCATTAGTACACATTTATACACCAAAGCAACAGGAGCAAACTGGGGTTAAGTGTCTTTTCCAGGGACACATCGAACATATAGCCGCAGTAGCTGGGGATCGAACCCCTGACCTTCAGGTTAGGAGACGGAGCTGTCGGTCATGTCAACTAAACCCCACGTGGACATTTCAATAAGGGTGTGTATGGGACTTCTGGGTCTTTTGTAGCCAGATTAAAGTGGACACCCAAGGAACTACAGTTTTTTGCACTTCCGCATTGGTTTTATATTTCTGACACCAGGTTGCAGCGATATTCAATCCCAACATAAAAAACAAAACCTTTCTTCAACGTTCCAAAAATATGCAACACTTTTTACATTAAATGTAGCACTTAATTCACTACTTAAGATGTCAAAATATCCTTATGAGGAGCACAATAAAGTACGTGTCTTAGTGAATGGTCTCTGGTCAGAAAAAAAGAGCATCACTTTATCCTGTCAACTAGCCTTGATGGTTGAAAAAAAAATAGTGCAAGCTGAAAAGATTACAATAGATAAGCAAAAGATAAATTGTGGGATATTAAACTCTCAGACCAACCCTGAATAGATTTACACAATCCACTTTGGTGTCTTGCTGGTCCTCCACATTGACATCAGGCTCAACAAATGTGTGGTTCTCACCCAAAGCTCTTTGCCTGATAATTTTATACCAAGTAGTTTGAGATTAAAGTCCCCATTATTGGTAAATCTCGACTTTTCATCAGTCACTTTGTCACTGCGTACTCTCATCCAAGTGAGCCACAATATATGGCTTCATAAGAGCAAATTTCTAGATAATTGAGGCTGCAAGACATGGATAGCCTATTTTAAGATTATATAGTCAAATGTTGTTTTGTTGTTGTAAATTAACTTGAGAACAGAAAGCAAATAAATTACTGTAAGATAACAAAGTTGAACTACATTTTTGGAAACATGATTAATTAGTTAGTTCAATTCTCATGTCCAATTTGTGTGACTAGTGCAATTTGAAGAAACTTTTTTTTTTAAATAAATAGACTAGTAATCAAATGAGAAAAAAAAAACGATTTGTGTATTTGGCTTAAATTGTTTCTAGGTTAGGCATTGTGGATTGTATGACACTAATACAATATGATACAATATACTTTATTGTCCCATTGGGCGACATTTGTCACCACAGGCTGTTTTAGCCAATGTCCTACTTGATCGAAATAAAAGATTTTATGCAGGCCCGTTTTATTAATGTTTTTCTTTCTGTGTAACCTACCTGCAATCCATCTCTGTTCATCTTTACACATAGCTGATATAGCAAGCATCTTATCCATGACAGTGTATCTGTATATCCTATGTGTTTGAGAGCGTGTGTGTGTGTGCGCGCGCCCTCGCACGCGCGTGTGTGTTGTAGGCCAATAGTCACTGAGTTACACAACCGCTTTCAGTTTCCGAGCCCTGCCTGACTGCTTGCTTGCCTGCCTGGTGGCTCCCCGCCCACCGCTGCTATCTGCTGCCTGCCTGCCTGCCTGCCTGCCTGCCTGCCTAGCTGTTGGACGGACTGGGGCAGATCCTCGCCGACCAGTTCCGTGTTCTCTCCTCTCCCAGTACACGGACCTGACTGCACGGGAGGACCCAGCGGTGTCATGGTGGACATTCCTGCCCAGTCGCGGCACCTTTAAGTCCGGGGACAGAAGGAAAGTGTGTCGGAGGTAAGGTAGGCTATGTGTTATTATTTCTGACAATTTCTTCGCGAATAGCGAATTCATCAGTCGACGTCGGTCGCGTTACGTTACAGCCAAACTTTGACGCTGCTGGCTGGACCTCCTCTTTCTCTCTGTCCCCCTCCCTCTCCCCCCCCCACACACTCTCGCTCTCTCCTGAAACGCAAAGTGCGTCGCCGTGCACACTCACACGCGGGATTACGGTATGTTCACGCAATGTATAGCCTGCGTGCAGCAAGCTTCCTGTTCATGTCGTTAAAGTGTCTTAACATGAAGCTCTGTAACTTTTATGGTCGATACGTGCTGCGTGCGCGTCTCTTTCTGTGTGTGTATTGATGGGTCGCCTATGTAAGCAGCTGCGACACGCGCTTATGCTGGCGATACATGATCTCTTGAACATGTAGGCTGTTACATGTAAGCGTGTATCAATATAGTGTGCGTGTGTCGTCCATTGATGTTGTTTTGACACAGGTGACGTAGACCATGACGCGCCTTAACGATGAGATAAGCGGATCCGCTCCGTTTGAATAAATAGCAGGCTCATGTGTATGTGTGCGCGCGAGAGACTTTGTCTCATTGATGGACACTGGGGGGGGGGGATTTTCTGAACTGCGCACTTGCGATTTTTCTAGCAAAAAGCGACCCACGCTGGAAGAAACAGGAGTCTGGAGTGAAGTAAACACCGTTTCCTCTGTCTGTAGGCAGTTTCTATAGCGAGTAAAGCTGCCTGAATCTAGCTCTGCATGTGTTCACCACTGTTTACACACCTGACGTGCACACAGCATTTTAATATGCGTTTGATATGACGTAATTTCATAAATGATGGACGGAATAAACTGCTCCCCAGATGAAAAGTAGTACAGGCTTTTCCTCCTATATAGCCTTCCGTTTTTATTTTTGTAGCAAATGGGTTAAATTACAACTCTCAGGTACTGTATGAGCCAATACGCCTTCACAGTAAATAATGACTCAAAATCCACATTAACATAAGTCTCAAAAGAGACATTTTTCATTTTGTATTTGCCCTTGGCCAGGGACAGTAGCCCTATTCAGACTGCTGGTTGAAGGTGCAATATTTACATCCCTGTGATGTTTTGCCTTCAATCTGAATGTCCCTGAGACATAATGGGGGGCAATGTGAGCCCCCTATAAGACTGGCTGGGGGGGAAAAAAGGGGAAAAACTTTATACAAAAGTTAAAACTTTCGTAGTAACCATGTGGACAAATTTAAAAGCTTGTTGCCCTTTTGACTTGTTATGAGGTTGTTGTTTTTTTTGCCCAAATCGTTCAGTTTTCTGTTTGTCATCTGGAAAGTAGAACTGCAGGTCCAGGAACAAGTTAGTACACATTTTTATGATGATTAAATAGTTAAGCAAAATAATTCTCCCTTAGCCATTAATCCCTATTAAAAGTAAATCTGTCAACATTTCTGTAAACCTATGCCTGCTATATATTACAATATACAATATAATTTTAAACCGGACACACTATCATTTACTGTCACCATTTCTTGGCTTATTTTAAGCACAAGGACTTAAAGAAAACATATGAAATATTACTTTATCTAGTTTTATTTTATGTCAACAATCATTTTAGTCCACTATTTTAGTAGGCTACAACATCACATGGATCAAATCACTGTTTTATTTCCATGATATTCCAACAGTAATACCGGTACATACATAATGTCTTTGATACAGAATGTTGAATTTACACAGAGACAATTCTGCCTTACTTAGTTACTCTGAAAAAAGTCAACTATATTGCCACCATTCATTGTATGAGTAAATTATGATCCCTGATTTGGAAGTTGTGGCAGGTAAACAGACCTAAACAAAAATCCCCATTTGTACTTTGATGTGAATTACATATTCAAACACGTATGAGATATAGGATGACGCAAGTGCACACAACCTGCTAGCAAAGAACCCTGTTTATTCTGTAATCATTATTATAGTCATTTGCATGATGACAAATATTTAAAGGTAGCCTGTTATCAAGTAATGAACAAACTACTCACAAAGGGAATGAGTCAGACCTGAGCACGGTGACTAATCCCACATCCAGAAACATTTACTATACTGCTTACTTCATTTACTGTAACAGCAGCATTGCAAATACAGGGTTTCCAGTCACTATTTTTTTAAAGTGTATTATTAATCCTAATATCTATATTTGAAGCAGGGAAATCAAAATGAATTCAGATCCACTTAAATAGGGGTTGGAATTGGGGCAAGTTGGAGAGTTTAGGTGCTTTCTATAGTAACGTAATCCTGGGAAAAAATAAATGTAGGTCAGACCTGCAACAATCCTGCTGCATAAATGTACATCATGTTATATCATGACACATGTGTGATCATATCAAGTGTCTTTTAAGATGTATTAATTAGAGAGTGATACAAATGATTTACAATAAAACAGTTTAAACAAAAAAGATGTAAAGGACAGAGAAGGATATAAAATAAAACAGAAGTCTGAGGGGGAATATTTATTTATGTTATATCTTTTTAATTGTCACTTTGGGAATAAAGTTAAAATGTTGACAATAACCCAGCAGATGTTAAAAATAAACTTTTTTCTCATATTTTTCTGTTAAATGTTTGTCTAGTCTCTTCTTCTGTCCAAAGCCTGCTTCGTATACTGGACGATAGTGTACTCTAATATTTTGGGGGGAACTTATTAGACCATAGTAAATTCATTCTAATAGTACCCAGTATCAAAATGCTCAACAATAAACAAGTTAGAGTTAGTGGTTAGAGGTTTTTTATTTGCATGTTTTTTGACTCAACATTATTGTCAAACATGAAGTACTAATAAGACCTCTGAGGAGTTGAGTACTTGATTGACTGTAATGAATGACAGTACATGTTGCAATGGAGTTGCTCTTACATTTAAAAAGTTAAACTTGTTGGAGTTGTTGGACTAAATCCTGTTAGATTGTTGTTAAGAAGGAGAGTTTTCTACTATTCGGCGACTCAGAAACTTTTAATTGCCCATACTGAATGAACTTCACCGTCCATCTGCTGAGTGGAACAATGCCCCACCTCACAGTGACAGGTTGTGGATACTCAGCTTTTTGTTGGATAGGTAAAGGGCAAAACTGTATAGGGACCATGGTCTCAAAGGCAGTGAAGGATTACTAAATCCATTGATCAAAAAAACTGATCATCATAGTTCATTAAGTCTGCAAGGTGAGATTAAAAGCATCTGGGTTTCATCCAAGTTTTACTAACACTGACCTTTAAAGCGACTCTTTGCAAGTCAACAGCATGTGATCCTCACGTTGAGCCTCTGCTTGATGATATTGTGCTCTGCAGTGAATTGGCACTTCAGTATCAATATCAGTAGCTCAGTCTATAGGCACCTGGTTTGGGAAGCGGAGGGTCGCCCAGTTCAAGTTTCAGTGTAGACCAAATCTGGAAATTTGTCTGGTAGTTGGAGAGGTTCCAGTTCACTTTCTGAACACTACCGAGGCACCCTTCAGCAAGGCAGGAGCGCTCACTGTGGGCAGCCCCCTCACTCTGACATCTCTCCATCAGTGCATGTCAATAGGATCCTGTTTTGGCATGTGTGTGTGTATTTGAGCCTGAGTGTGAAGCATGTTACAACGGAGTGCAAAATTGAATTTCCCATCGAAGGATTAATAAAGTATATCCTCTTCTGATTTAATATTACATTTTTAACTTTGTAATTATTCCATCATTTAAATATTATGTTTTAGTTGATCTTTTATGGTTTTGTGTTTGTATGAAAGTGTTTGTTATTATTAAATCTTTGCAATGTTTTCTCTGAATTTAGCACAGTCCCACTCAAACCATTTGTGTTTTATGTCTTAGGGTACCTCCATCAAACAGCCCACACTTGCGGAGTGCTGCCATGGGAATGAAGACACCAACAGTAGCAGCTCCAAAATGATGTATGGGCAGATGGGTAAGAGGGCGACCAAGCAGAAGTCTTTGGCCTCCGCGTTGTCAGCTGACCTCCAACCCCTCCCTCATGAGTTAAAAATGGCACTGTGGCTGAGTCAAGGAGGAAAGCAAGACATCTTATTCTCCTGGAGTTTTTGGAATGTATTAAACCTGTATTTCTGAAAGAGGACTGCACAGACTGGACAAACCTGGTGTCCCTTTTTTTATGTCGCTGGGAGTAACATGGTTCATCAATCACAGAATTACATTTGATTGGGAGATGCTCCTGAAGAAAAACTGACTACAAAATTGAACTTCAATAAAAAAATGGAGAAGGATTTTACACAATAGGATGTCTAATCTCATACACTGTGGATAGTGAACACATTCGCTGTCCTGGACTTAAATCAGCCAAAGTTGGTGTAGTCAACCCTACACACCCAATTCAACTCAAGAAACAATCCTGTTTAAACTGTATCAGGACATTAAAGCCTGTTACTGTAATCCAATCCATTGCCCATTGTTGTGAATGGATGTCTGACTCTTCTAAAACAAGAAGGTGACTTTTCACTTCAGGTTCAAACTGAAACACTGACCCCGGGTCAGTATCTTGCTGCAACATTACATAAATAAACTCCAAACATGGCTGCTACAGGAAGGAGGCACTTGGTGCAAGACTTTAACCATTTCATCACCTGTTACCTGTGTAGAGGATACCTGATTAAACCGACCACGGTCACCGAGTGCCTGCACACCTGTGAGTAAAACACACAAAAACATGTGTTTGTTACTTCAATTGACAATGCACTACACTCATTTCAAGAACTAGTTAATGACAGAATTCATTAAAGCCGCTGTACACCCACGCAGGTGTTGAATGTTGTTGAATTATTCTGGATGATTACACCAGAACAGGTTGTGAAAAGGTGGGACTGTGGTGAAAATGTGTGATGTAGATACTTAAAAATGGTAACAGGTCACCAGGTCATCCTTCCAAAATGGATTTGTCAAAATTAACAGGGTAGTGGAGCTGTCAGTCAAAAACACCTTGACCACGTCCACATCGTCGTGACAACAGTTCTAATTATGGTCTCAATCACTAACACCTGTGTGGGTGACCCTACCCTTATCCAGTCCTGTCACTTAGCTAGATGGGTTTCAAGCTAGTGCTGCAATACAATTATATAGTTCATAATTTTATCTTCATGAGCTGCCAATTAGTAAAAAAAAAAAACTAAAAGAAACATGTTGATCACTGACACAAATATGTATTGCAAAACTTCTAATTTAGGCTTTTTCTTAGGGTGCTACCAAAAGGCTAAAATGGGTGTAGCCATTTGAAAATCTTAAACTCTGCTGAGTTGGAATACAGAGACGTTTTCCCATTTTACCATGCTGCTAACATTCTGTGTCCTTCTATTCTATGAAGCACAATTACACATTAGCATGTGAAATAAGACACTTTATAGTTTGTAACCTTACCAGCTACCCTGCAGCGTATTAAAGAGCCCATATTATGCCCTTTTTGGGGTTCGTATATTTAATCTATGTACCTACTTTTGTACGTTCACAATAGCTAAAGTCTGAAAAAAGTGTCTGTTTTTTATGTACTGCTCCTCCTTGCTCCCTCTACGCTCTGAGTCCATCAGCTACACTCTGTTGAGCCCACAATGTTAGACCCCACGTGGGCCAAGTCTGCTCTGATTGGTCTGCCGATCTGCTCTGTCGTTATTGGTCAGTTGCTCAGCACGCTTCTCGGAAATTTCAACATGAGCTGCTGGGCTTGCCACAACGAGCCAATGGGCTTAGATCAGTGATCTCACACTGACAATGACGCCGCACTGAAAATTTTTATCGAGGCGGGCTAGAACCGAGCGTTACATGCGGCTAATGCTACAGCTAACAGGAGGAGGTAGGAGAAGCCGCGTTTCCGCGGACTTTGAATTTTGCACATAGATGTGCCTAAACATGCACAGGACACTTGGAAAACACACTAAAGAGCATATAAAACCAGAAAAAGCATAATATTGGACCTTGAAGTAATTAGCTTCTGATCTAGCAAGCAATCCGATTACTTGCAAACTAGCAAGCTTACTAGCTGACTGTTGTTGATTGCTCATGTCATGTGTGCACATAAACTAGATGACGTCAAACTGTCTGATGAATATTTTCCATTAGTGAAAGTACTTTAATCCTGTTAAATGATGTTGACGTTGTTTCTTCTGCAGTCTGTAAGAGCTGCATTGTGCAGCACTTTGAGGACAGCAATGACTGTCCTAAATGTGGCATTCAGGTCCATGAGACCAACCCACTGGAGATGCTCAGGCAAGATACTCACTTTTATTATACAGAGCTTTTTTCTTTCTTTCTTTCTTTCTTGTATTTGTAGTTGGTACTTTTAATCTTTCTTTATCTTCCTTCTCCATAGCTTTGTGTCGGCCTCTTCCTCCAAAAACATGTTTCTAGTTTTCAAAATAAACATATTTTATGCTTTGAAATTTAGATTCCTTTCCCACCATTGTTTCACATTCCTCTTGATCCACCTGTTATTGTTCTCTTGCTTTCATCTAATACTTTTTTTTAAACTTATGTCTGTTTTAATATCCTTCATCTTCTACAGCATTGTATTGTTTGTTCTTTTAGGGGATTGTCATCTGTTCTGTCTTTCACACTTTATCTGTTCCACTGCTCACTACCTACCAATCATACTTTGTTCCCTAATTTCCTAAACACTCAGCCTTTTATTTTATGATATTCTCCCTGATGCAAACTTTGTATTGCTGCTCTTATCTTAACACCTGTCACCTTCTCCTCTTTAACCTCCCTCCTCGTAACCAATAAAACCTTCTCCTCACCTCTCCATCATCGTTCGCTCTATCTCCTTGTCACACTCTTCTCTCTGTGTATTCTCAGATTGGACAACACCCTGGAGGAGATCATTTTCAAGCTGGTACCCGGACTGAGAGAAAGTGAGTTTGCCAGAGGAGTTCATCAATCTGTCTCGTCAGTTTTCAGTCTGTGATTAATGATGTAACTTTTCATGAAAACAACTCTAAACATATAATTTATTACAAGACATGTAAAGGGGTTATCACTGCACACATAATATGCCTCCAGCATGCATTGGAGCAACAATGTGGTGACCCCACACATGATTACATACAGCTTTTTCCTTTGCTGTGTACACATCGGAAAATAAATCAGCTAATCAGTCAATAAGTATTCAATATTTGTGTAGCATAATTTCATAACAAATGTTATCTAAAGACACTCAACATTTTGTAATATCAAGAGCAGGCCCAGAATTCACTCTTTTTTCTCTTTTTTATATACTATCAGAGACACAACAGTAGTCTAACCACACATCAGAGTGATGACCAGATATTGGCTAACAGGTAGTCGGTGAGCACCTGTTCCCCAAGTCTTTGTGTTGTGTCTGCACTATCGGCACTAGTTAGCCCTTGTGTGGTATTTTGGCATAATTGAACATGTTGATTCTGCTTCAAAGAAATCAGGGAGAAATCAGTGCAGGAGAATAGAAACTGAAGTGAATCAAGCTAACATCAACAACTACACTGCCATTTGTACACTTTAATGTCACTTGATTAGTAGTTGATACTTAACAAAACCATGCCATTATTGAGTAAGATTGGTGTTAAATTGTTAGGCAACAGGGCTTTATTACAACTTTATTATAACTTTATTATTATAATAAGGAAGTTTACAGACTCAGTGCCCATTTATCGATAAATATTTAACCCCAAAAGTCTAAACATATTCTTTTCTTAGGCAGCGTCTTATGGTAATAATATTTGTCAATTTTTTAGAATCTGGTAACGTCCATACAATGCAGTAAACTTACTGTTTACTATTTCCAAATAAGTGTTTCTTTTGTTATGAGCACTCAGTTAAAAAAACACTGAGAAAAGCTAAATCCAGCGACTTTTTTTTACTTCTGCTCTCCCTATATGACATAAGGGAGTTCTTGCTGAGATCAGTAAATAATCCGTTTGTCAGTGCCACATTATGTCAGAGAGCTTGAAGCTGGAGAGTTTTAAAACAAGATGAAGACAAACAACCTTCTCTCTGCAGCCCAGGCTGCAAGAAGGTAAGTCAACATGTCCAACAAAAGCTGTGGGACCATAATTCTATGTGTCCATAACGTCACCTAAACTTACAGAGCACTCAAAAACAAACACATTTTCTCTTTTTTTGCTTTTAAAAAACAAATCTGAATCACATGAAATCTATTGTATTGTTTTTTTTTTGTCCTCACCAGACTCATCCATATAGAGGATTTTGTTGCACCGTACACTTATAGTAAGCCAGCCCACTGCAAACTTAACCTCAGTTGCAATCATTACAGTTTTATTTTTTCATTGATCATATGGGGCTTAAATATCCTCTAACTGTGCGGACATAAAGTCGCAGGCTGATTTCTAAACCGCCTACTGTACTAGTAGTACATACGGATTTAACCAAAATACAGTATGCGAACAAATGCGAAATCCGCAGTATGCAAAAAAAAAAAAATGTCGGTACTGATTTGGGAAAAAATCACAGTATGCACCAGACCAGTCTCTCTTGCGTACTGTTTCCCACAATGCAAAGCACAAGGTCAGAGATCAAGGTGACAGACAGCAACGGCTCATCATTTCAGGGGAAATAATCACAATCAGACCAAACCACACAAAGATACCACCAGGTATCATTTAGACTCAAAATCATGAAAATCAAAATGAATTACTCGTCAGCTTTTTTTAGACTGTAAGTGAATGCTACACCGTAGTGGTGACAGAAACCTGGTGTACTGCAAAATAATCACTGACTGTCAGTCCTACTACATACTACTGTCAAATGTAGTATGCAAAGTACATTCTACGTTCAGTAGTATGCTGTAGGCAGTTTAAAAACCAGCCATAGACATTTATGTGACCACATTATGACTGACTGTGTATTTGAATATAATAAATGAGCTAATCACAAGTTTTACAATAAATCAAATGCCTCAAATGCAGAAGTATTTTAATAAAGACCTAAAACACAAATGTTTATAATCAAGGTTACGCAATAGTTCAAACTGAGTCTTGTGGGGAATAGATGTTATCTATCTTTGATTAAATGAGCGCATGTGGCTCATACACATCGATAATCTATTCTTTGGTCACTTAAGGAGTTTTAGCAAGACCATTTTAACATCTGAGAATTACTTTCGACAATTGGTAAACTCAGGTTTCATCTTCATAGTTGACAGCTTTCTTTGACTTCTTTGAAATGGTTTCAAAAGCATTAAGAGATAAGAGCGTAACCTTTTCTTGATTATAATTCAGGGTTCGGTCTGAGTGTCTGATTTGGTTTCCAGTCATGCTTGTTAACGCTGTCTTCTTTGTATCTGTTATTTTTGTGAACCAGAGGAGGAACAGCAGGAACTGGAATTCTGGAAGAAGAACCCGCCCAAAGAGAATGGCCAAGGCAAGCTGCTTCAGGATGGTTACTATGACACAGCAAAAATAATACCTGTACTTTAAAGGGTTTAGATTTTTCAAGTATATTCAAGTATTGTTCTTAATTCAGACTCTGTGTGTTTAGATCAACGATGTGCAAAACTGATTCATGATACACTTTGTAATCCATTACATCACGTCTAATCTAGAAACCATTGCAAGGAAACGGAGCGGTCATGTGGTTACTGTTTTCAATGTAAAATTGAGCTTTCTTTGTCAGAACAGTTTAGTTACAACATGGTTATTTCCTCCTCATTCTTTGAGGAGGCAGATTGTTGTCCTTCAATGTCGTGATTCATCTGTCTTTGAATAATCAGCACATTTGAGTCAGCTCATTTAAATCTGAGACAGGGGATTTCCTGCTAACATATCACACATCCCCCTTACCTAGCCTTAAAGCTGAAAACAGAGGATGTTCTGCTCTCTAATTAAGAAAATAATTCATTGTGATCATTTATCACAACTCAGTTGTCCTGATGTTTTTTATCCTTATTACTAACCACTTGTTTAGTCTGTTATGTAATATAAAGATAGACTGTAGTGGCTACCTAAAGTTTACTTAGAGATCACCTGTAATGTCCATGCTAGCTGTTAACGTCCAGTGACTGACATCACTCAGTGTTGTGTGTTGTGTGTGTTGGTACAGCAGAAAACTTGACGTGTCAAAGACTCGGACTGCCCGATGTTGGAGGGGATGACGGCGATGGTGATTGCGGCGGTGGTGAAGAGGATGGTGGCGATGACGACTACCACAGGAGTGACCCTCAGATAGCAATCTGCCTGGACTGCCTACGCAACACAGGACAGTCGGGCGAGAGCACTGTCTCGGTGTGTTTGTATAAGAATTCATGTGCAACTTTTAAGTTCAGAACTTCTTAAATGATATCTTTGAACATGGAAGCCCTATGGTTCGTTATCCACTAAAGTTTGCTGCTTGGTTAGTAAATGATTCCAAGCTTTTGGGACAATCCATGTTGAGTTTTTTGTAACGTTTTTTGGGGTCCTATCGTAGAAAATCCCACTTTCATTTCATTAGCTGCCAGGATGTAATATAATTTGTCCCTCGTCCCATTAGGATTTAATGAAGAGGTTCATACGCTGCTCCAGCAGAGTCACCGTGGGAACAATTAAGAAGTTCCTCAGTCTTAAACTAAAGCTGCCCAGCTCTTACGAGGTAAGAATCACATTCATTCAAAAAATGTCTTTATAGGAAAAATATGTGTTGAGTGTTTTATTTGTACTTGTCCAGTCTCAGACAAAGTCATGAAAAACCTTTTAGGAGGCTTTTGTGTCTCTATTATTTAAAGGTATGTAGTAGAGTGAGGCTGCAACGGTTTTCTTTTTGGACATCTTTTGTTTTGAATTGTATTTATATTGTTTTCTTATATTATTTATACTCATATATTTAAGTTAATTGACAGTTTGAGTATTGTTGTAAGATAGCTTTTGCTTTTTTATTTGACTTGTGTTCATTATGTTGCACTAAAGCAACAAGCTAAATTCCTTTCATGTATAAACCTACTTGGCAATAAACCCGATTTTATTCTCTTGAGTTCTAAGCAAATGAGTAATGGTCTCAAAAGTCAAACTCTTATGAGAGTAACTGGGACTCTAAAATCAGCCATTGATCATAAAGCCAGACTTCATTAATATTCCATTCAGCTTTACTTTACCAAACAACCAACAATCTGTTGGCTTCCATATTTGCAAAAGACTGAGTTTAATCTAGGCTGTATCACACACTCACGCAGTCTTTCACGCACTCTCACATGCAGTGCAGCCTCCCACACATTACCACTGTGAACTTCCCCTTTCCTTTCAGCCTGTGCATCAGGACTAGCATTCTTTTTATTCGGTTTCCCTCATTTGTTTTCTGTAGTTCGGTGCCATGTTTGAAAGGGCTTTCTTGTATCGACGCTTTTCACAAATTGAATTGTTTCGTTGCCTCCCTTTCTTCTTTGCTCCTTTGTGCAGCTGGATGTGCTGTGTAACGGAGAGATCATGGGCAGAGATCACACTCTGGAGTTCATCTACATGACCCGATGGAGGCTACATGGAGAGAATGTAAGGCTGTCACCCCCCACTTCCTGTTTATGTGTGTGTATGTGAGTGTGTTTGTAGCATGCCATTGTGTAGATGCATCAGTGCAGGAAAGCATTTGTTTGCGAGTGCATATTTACTTTGTTCAAATTTAAGTTTAAAGTTGGCTCAAGATAAGATTAGGGCTGTAGCTGAGTAAAGTTAGTCATAATGAGAGTAAGCAGAATTCTCTCAGAAGAACAAATACTATGCTGGAAATAACTTGTGACGGTTGAATCACTTCTTCATTCTGTGCTTAATAGTTTCTATATAAAGAACGTTTTTTATTTATTTTACTCAGATTCAGTGAAGGCAGGATGTGACTTTTCTTATTGTTGTCATTATTCTGTTAGTATAAAAGGCTGCAATTTGCACAGTTCGCACAGAGTTTCACATTGCATTCCTTTTTATATATCGTGCACAATTTGTGTGCAACTTTTGCACACAAATTGCAACTCTGTTATGGCCATGTTGCTCGGGTTAATGTCACTGCTTTCTCCACGAACTGCATCAGGATTATCTTTACTGACATCTCCAGCTTCTTGAATCTGACCAGTGCATAGTATGATGCTGCAGAGCACCAGTCACTTATGATTGGCAGTTTCTCTGTATTTACCACAATGGCTGTGATCTGGTTTATTGCAGCAGTAAAAAACAAAACAAAAAAAAAAACAGATAATATTTTGATGTAATAGAAATAAACAGGATTGAAGGATGTCAAAAAACGACTTCATGATAATGATTGAGACATTAAGATTTTGGGATGTGTCATGTTTCTCCCCTAGACAGCATGCAAATCACTTTGAGTTAATATTGCTCATTTCTAGTGCTTCTTAGGATGTCAAGATCATTTCAAGACTAATTTTGCAAACACAGTGTCAGACAAAGTGTCAAGCAAAACTCAGGCTGCGTTTGTTTGTGCCTTTCTGTTGACTTTGTTATGTAAAAGAAACTTTGCTTATTTGCTGAACACACCTTTTCACCAGCTTGATGTAATTCTAAACTCAGCGCTGAAACAAAGACATAACTCACGCGCTCATGCTAAAGAAACAAATCTTTGATGAAAGGTCCTGACTTTCCAACATTTCTTCAATTACAAGGTTTAAATTTCAATCTCATGTGGATAGAAATACAAGAGCGTTTACATAAATGGACATACAACAGCAGGAGTTGTTCTTGTTTAAGGTTAGGGTTAGTGTGCACATATAAGTGTGTGAGTGTGTGTGTGTGTGTGTGTGTATGTGTGCGTGTGTGTGTTTAAGACCTTTTTCTGTGGCTTAGCATAGGTTAAGTTATGAATGTACATATTTTAGTTTAGAAAATCTACACATAGTAACTTTAAAGCACTGCATATCAGAGATGATTAATCAAAAGGCCCTGACCGCTTGTTGACAGTGACTTAGGGCTGTACACAGCTGGTACCACAGGAGGACACAGATTCCAGGTCAGAGGTCAGGAGGAGCTAAAGCAGGGAAAGTAGAGGGAGAGAAAGCCAGGATGAAATGAGATTTTAAAAAAGTCAGTAGTTTCTGTGCTCTAGTTGTGCTCACATGTCCAATCAAAGGGATAATATGAGTCAGAGTCATTTTCTTCAAATCATTTAGCTCGAACAATAACATTTATATATATTGATTTTTTTTGTGTGTGTGTTCTGGATCTGCATCTTCATGCAGTGAAAATAAAACACCCCAATGTTGTACATTATTCCGAGCTGTTATATAATCGTATTGCAGGTAAACCAGAAAAATGCACAACTTCTAAACATTTGTAATTGAAGACAAAGTAAAGCTGCTTTAAATTCGGATTTAATAAAGTCAGTACCATTCTAAAAGAAGAATGCCTTTGGGTATAACATACAAAGCCAACTGTTACCTGTTTTCCTACAACAGAGAAACATTGTTTGACCTTAATCATTCGGTTGGAACTGACATCCGTCTTATGTAATAATGAGATACAGATTGTCCGTTAAGTGTGCACAGATTGTCAGAATTTCAGATTTCATCATTTTCCATCTGGGCTTTTATCCCATATGGAAAGTTATGTAGCCAACATTATGTAAACATTATTAAACAGTCCTTATTACATTAAAAACACACTGGTACACTGCTCTGGTAAGTAATCCCTGCCAGCACTACTCCACTCACTGTTGTTAAAAAGACACATACTGATGATACACAGCAGAAAAAGACTGCAGGGCATACTCAGCAAAGTTAATAGAGCTGTTCTGACTTTTTGCTGTTAGTCGTGCTAAGTACTTAGAGCTGGAAAACTTAAAAAAAAAAAAAAAAAGGATTTGTTTCCAGGTGAGCATATTGTACATAAGGGAAGTCCATTTTTATATGGATGGTCTTAATTTTAAGAGAAAATCACGAGTTGTAGAAATAGAGGACCTCCATGTTTGTGCCACTTCGCATGATAAGTCACTTGATTAAACTCACAATATCCCCCCCTGGGTTAAATGTGAAGGCTCCATACAATATCTGATCCTCAGTTTTTTTAAGATAAAGACAGAAAATGGAACAGAGGAAACAGAAAATCTTTTTTTTTTTTTTTTTAAGATTTATTTTTGGGCTTTTGTGCCTCCATTGGAGAGATAGGACAGTGGATAGAGCCAGAAATCAGGGAGAGAGAGAGCAGGGATTGACATTTGGGAGAGCAGCCACACCTCGGACTCAAACCGAGGCCGCCCGCTTGGAGGACATATGGGACGCCACCAGGTCCCCCGAAACAGAAACTCTTGCACAATAAAAAATATCTCTAACCACAAATTCCTGAGATTTTACAGGACTAATATTATTCCATGATTTCAGTGTTTTGTAGAGCAGGCGTGTGATTTTTACCTTTCAGTAACACACCCAGCAGATATTACAGATGACTTATTATTTTGTTGTCTTGTTAAATATGTCTAGCTCTTAAGGCAATGGACATGTTTAAGTCTCAGTCCTTTCACAACTTTTTCTTAACCTCTCAACCAGTTTATACTTGTGTTTTTAGTTTAAGACCTGAGATCCACCACATATATGACGGGGGTGCTTTTTAGATGTTTGCCTGGAGGCTCAAGGCCACCTCAGTCCCACCTCCTTGCATGTGTTCAGATTGATTGACAGTTATGTAGAATCAGAATTTCCAATATGGCGACTGTCATTGTTGGGCTTCATAATGCCTCTTTAGAAACCAATGATTGGCGTCACTGAGTCTACATCCATGAATCATACAGTCTGTGATGGTTTCATATAAAATTATTTTGTGTTCATCCTGAATTCTCTGTAGATTTGCTTGTTCAAGGTAAAATATGTATTTTATTAGCTTTCTCCATTGTAAGTCTTCTTCTTACAGTCAAAGTCAGAATGATGTCCTACCCGGTGACTCGGAAGGATAACAACCAAGAAAGGATTTTAAATCCTGTTTGAGCCGTGTCTGGTTAAGGACAGCGTAAGGAGAGGGGTGACGAAGAGGGTGAGAGACAGATCTGAAGCTTAGAGTCAGAGATGGAGACAAAGAGACGAGGAATAAAGAGTATTCATTCATCTGTCTCATCCTTCTGTCTACTCAACAGTTTGGCTTCATTTACTCCCTCTGACAGGAAACTGCCTTCAGATTGCCATCAAACTGATGAGCAAAACATGACACTCAAATTATATCAAGATTGAACTGTTCTGAATTCTGACTGGATGATCAACACACTCAGAGGGCTGTTATTGCTGACTGACAGTTCATTATATCACCCAGCACTAAAAACAAAGACTGACTAAAATGGACCTAGCAAATCTGTCGTTTCCCTTCAAAAGCAAATATATTAGAAGAAAAATAAATAGTAGCTGGACTCCATTCATGAACATTTTTCTTCTTGTTCCTTGTACTGCACAGACAGGAGGACGCTTGATAAGAGTCCCATGTGGTCATGCACAGGTTAATGCTTGGCTAAGTATAGGCAAAGGTCAAGGCTTTAAGATTTGAGGACATTCTTTACTGAATAAAAAACGTATAGGTTTGGTTTGAACTCAAGTTCAGCTGAAATAATCTGGTAATGTTTTTCACTTTACTAATCTCAGTTTACACATTTTACATAACAATGTAGAACCTGTACATATTCTGGTTTATGTTTTTTGTTTCTTTGTAACCCAAGTTGAAATGACCAATCAGGTGTCAGTTGTGTATGATGGAAGAATAGTCCTTTTAGAGAGCAAAAGCAGGCGAATCCTTGAAACGATTTATTTTTCTCTTTAAACAATTATCTGTCTGCAAGTGGCGCTAATAATGTAATGTATGTAAATAATGTTCTTGATCAAAAGTATCGACTTGAGCGACAGAACTGCTGGACACTGTTCCATGCAATCCACCCAGCGTTTAAATCTCCTGACTTTCTGGAATTTATCTGAGATGATCAATCAGACCTTCAGTACACATACAATAATTTTAAGAATTGTTTGTAATTTAGGTCAGACTTGTCAGTTGCAAAGAGATGATAAGACAATTGGTTTCTTTTTTGGGCTCATACCTCTCTCTCTTATTTCCACCTCTATCTAATGTCCTATCTCTGCGCTAAAGGCACAAAAAGCCCCCAAAATAAAAACTAACATTTAGTTTCAATTTACTGGAGTTGAGAATCGGATGATCCTTACTTTCATAAATTTGACACCAGAACAAAATGCTTGTAAGCTGAACAAAATGATGCCTCAGTGCTGTGTAATTAAAGTGTGTGGAGACAGACATGCTGAGCGAGAGAGTGTCAGAGAAGCAGACACTGAGATGCAGTGATCTTCCGTTTAGGTTAGATTTAGTGTGGTCCTTTTTATTATTATTTTTAGACGTGATGCAGCAAAATGCAGAAAGCTGGAGCAGATGACAGCAGCTGTACTCTGCAGCACCAGCAGCGTCAAGCTGCCAGAAATAGGAGACAAGACTCCACACCAGGAGACACACTCCTCACTCTGCAGCGGCTCTCACAAAAACACTCACCTTTATTCTCTTTAAATATTTTATGTAAAGGGCAGCTTACATCTTTTGACTATTTCAAATGTGCTTAATAGCTGAGGGGGGAAAAATGTACAAGTTGACATTTCTATTATTTACCCACAATGATGGATGGCTAACTGAATGGGCCTAAAGGCAACAAGCCCACACAGCAGCCTGAAAGTTCATGGAACCCCTAGTCCAAGCCATCCACTGTCTACTTCTGAAAATCTGAGGGTACTAGCTAAATACTCAGCAAGAGGAAAGCACATGGCAGATCCATCCTTCCATCATCTGTACCACTTATCGCTTTCGGGTCGCGAGGAGCTGGAGCCGATCCCAGCTGTCTGTGGGCGAGAGGCGGGTACACCTTGGAATGATAGCCAATCAGTCCCAGAGCTGACATAGAGACAGACAGGCACACTCACACTTACATCTAGGGGCAATTTAGAGTCACCAATTGACCTAACGAGCATGTCTTTGAACTGTGAGAGGAAGCAGGGGTACCCACAGGAACCCCAGGGATGCACAGGGGCAACATGCAAACTCCACACAGAAAGGCTCCCTTCCGACGGGGGATTCGAAACAGCAACCTTCTCGCTGTGAAGCAACAGCGCTAATATCTGCACCACTGTGCAGCCCGCATGGCAAATGATTAAACCAAAATCTGGGAAAATAGCTGTCTCCTCAGGTTCACTACAGGATGTTTGGTGTGCAACTAAATATTTACAGCATGAAAACGATGCTTTCTGAAATAGCTGCAGATATTTTTTGTCTGACAACAGAGGTTAAATTTGCAGATGCCATTTGTTGACATGTTTGCTGTCAACTCTGCAATGTGCTGTTGTGCACGATGTTGATTCTTTTTTTTTTTTTAAGTTCTTCATCCCTACATGTATTTGTGGCAGATTGCATCAAAAGCTTGAAATAGTTCCAGTTAAGTGACTTGGATCTTGTTAACCCTTATCAGAATTCCAACTTACTTGTTGATTTAAGTTTATCACTTCTCACTTTCCACCTTGAAGCATGTTGGCTTAAAACATAGTTTTATGGTACTTAGGTGATTGTACCTTTTGTTTTTTTAAATATGAAACATCAAAATGTCATATTTTCATTCAAAACTTAGAAACCTGGAATCGAAAAGATTTTCCCCTGGCCCCAACATAAAGAGTGGATTTATCTACTTCACTCCCACGCACAATTTATATCAAGTGTCACGTTTAAGACTATGGGTGCTTTTCCAAACACTAAACAGCCTTTTTGGAAAATTAACTTTTCAATTGCTCCTCAGCAGAGCGAGCAGCAGCCAGGCCTCTCAATACTTTTTCTGTTTTATTTCTTCTGCATCAGACTCTTGGCCTCCATGCCTTCAGAGCAGAGCGAGGTGGATTCTCTGGAAACAGTTGAATGGAAACAGTTTCATATTCTTCTTTAAAACCAGAATACAGGGAACCTGCAGTTTGAAGTCAGATGAAAGCAAAGTGTCAACCAACTTGTGTTCTCCCAAGTAGATAAAATATGGACGAGTGAGCTTTATGACACAGGCTAAAAAGTAAAAAAAAAAAAACATGCCTGGCTTTGGCTGTAAATACTAATACTGGCTCCTCCACTGTCTAAATAGTCATGACCTCAGTGTGATGACTATTTAGAGGTCTTATATACAACTTAATGACAGTGAACTGAATAGTACATGTCTTAAGGATTACAAAGGGATTCTGGGGGCCTCGTAAACAGTATCATTGCACAGCAAATACATTTAATTTCCTGAAATTAACTAAGAAGGTGTTTTTTACATGTAGTCAAATAAATAAGGCACAACTATTTTAATTAGTTCATAATGAATATGGAAATACAAAATATACAGGCTTACATTAGCCCCGTTAAGTTGTTATTTTAGCTTTTTAGCTTTCTGTTATATATGTGCTTTTGACCATGATGTTTTTTCAGTGCAAGTAATTTGTTCACGTAACAAGGGTTAAAGAAATGTTGAAAACCTGCACACAGGATTTTCCAGCTTCAGTGATTCAGTTTTAATCAAAGGCATACTCTCACTGTTGCAGCAGCAGCAGTGGTGTGTTTGTCCCCTTAAGTGTGTTTACTTTTACAGTGTGATGACTAAAAGATTGATTTCCTCTTTCTCAAACACTTCTTTTTTTTTTATGTGTCTCCCTCAGACGTATCCCATGGTTCTTGAGTACCGGCCACGGATTGACTTTGGCTGAACCGCAAGAGGAGAAACAACAGTCATTCACTTACAGACTTAAACACACACACACACACACACACACACACACACACACACACTCCTGCAGACATACATATTAAGTAAGAAACACAATAATGTAAAACACACACACACAAACCAACATTCATGTGCCCACACCGTGCAGAATGAGTGAGAGATTTAAATGTATTTTTGTACAGCCAACAATGAAGTGCTTATGTTGTTATGGTAAAGAGGTTTTATGCTCCATAGAATAATATATGCTATAATATATGATATTTTTAAATGTATGTCCCTGTGCCTAAAACCTGTTGAGATCAGAAATGAAGTATGACCATATCTTTGCTTTGCCTGTTTAACTCTGTAGATTAAATGTTGATTTTCTACTGTTGATACGGTTGTTCAGTTTCATTTGATCACACTGACTCTCCTCGTCTGATAATGAGTCTTGCAGGCCTAACACATCGCCTTAAAAATGCTGGCTGTTTCCTTGAGTCCCCATTGGTTACTTTAGATCTGGTACATATGTAAATTGACAACTTTATTATCTTATACCCTACACCAAATGACTGAGTTATTTTACCTCACAGATAGTTGTCCAATGTGGATTAAAATCCTTAAAATGAATGATCACACTTCTTTTCTCCACCAGCATGCTATCTGTGAGCGTATAGCCTACATCATTAATTTTCAAACTGTGGTACGAGTACCACTGGTGATATGTGGGATTCCTCTTGTGGTACTCTGGGGAGTCTCTGACTTCTTTATTTTTTTAAATAAAGATGTACAAATCAAATGGTTGACTAGCAAAGCTGTGACCGCAAGCAAGGGAAGCAAATATGACGGTTACAATTATTTCCATTTGTGGCTCCAAACGGGAAATATTAGAAAGAAAAGTGTGGCGGATACGTTGAGCAGCACAGCAGGAACTGAAGTCAACAACAGTGAACCCGGCACTAATGCAAGAGGCGACATAAGCAGTGCCAGTTGAAGCTTCGCCACCCACTAGCAATAAACAACGCAAAGCAGTACGAAGTCTGGATTCTTTTGGAGTGGCACAGAGAATGAGCTCAGTCCGCAGTGTGTGGTGTGCGGTCAATAATAAATAATATGCACACAGTATCGGGAATAAAAACGCCTTCTGTATAACTATATAGAACATTGCACAAAAAGTAGGGGAATTTGTGTTTGGTAGATTATTTTTTGTTTTAACAATGCTTCTTGGCAATAAATGTTATACCGTTGGAAAGCCAGTTTATTTCCCTTCCAAATGGTGACACATTTGTCAGGAACCCACATTTTTGGGATAAGCAGCAGAGCTGAGTATGTGGGTTGCGCCCATGAAAAGCTTGCCAAACATTCTTTGCCAATGCATGTATGTAGTGGTTCTCAACCTTTTCACAATGAGTACCACCTCAGTGAATGTTTGGCTCATCAAGTACCACCATTATGGTGTGTAGGGCTATTTAACTACATAAAACAGTACTAAGAGTAAGACAACAATGTAAAATGTACAGATAGTGTCATCTCAAGAAAAGCTAACTGGGTATATAACCATAGAGGGGACTCCAAGGAGGCGCTCACAAACGATGCTGTTGGCATTTCCTCACTGAAGGTGGGGTGAAAAAATGCCCCGTTGCTAGAATTTTGGACACCTTGTTGACTGGGTGACTTTTAGCTAAGATCAAAGTTTAGGTAGTTGAGAAATGCTTTGAAACACCTTGAAGCTTGAAATGCTAGCCCATGCTAATACAACAAAGTAAGTCACCTTGGCTATCTCAACAACAGTACACATGGGGTAAAGTCTGGAAAATTTCCCCCAGCAACGTGAGGGGAAGTAATATCAACAGAAATCTAGTTTAAGTCTCGGTATTCATAATTGTGGAAGATAGCCAGTCTATGCAAAATCTAGTGTGACTAAAAAGTATCTGGATTTGGGAGGAGGTCACACTTCAGGCTTTAAAAAAAATCTTGTTAAAGTCTGTTGATAGGCATCAGCATAAAAATGATTGACACTGATCAGCAACAGTAACAAGCACCTACTTATTTACAACAGTCATGTTATTTAAAGAGAGACTGTAAAATGTTACTGTTGTAACCTTGAAATGAATGATTTAAGTACTTCCTCTGTCACCGCTCATACCTCACCCAAACATGCACACACACACACACACACACACACACACACACACACACACACACACACACACACACACACAGACACACACATATTCAATATGGTTTATGTCTTGTGGTGATCAGGGTGAAAGAGTGTGTCTGATAATAAAACGGGTGAATTATGTCTTTGCCTGAATATTTGAATGGAGAGAACAGAGGGGAAAAACAGGCAGGAATGTAAGTAATGACACACACACACACACACACACGTGTCATGAGGATCTATATAAACACTTGTATAGCAGGTGTAGCAGATGGCATGTTTCCATCTATTCCACACCAATGTCTGTGCTTGATGTGAATGCATAAACATATGCACACACAAGCATATACACACTGCAGAAAAAAACAACATCTTCTCAGTTTGCACACATATCCCTCTAGCTGTTGGTTTTGCACTTGTAGTTGTTTTTTCAGGTCAGAGTTATGTAGGTCAAAGGTCCCTGTGGGTTTCTATATGACCCACTGTGATGACGCTGACCTCTTAACCCTGTAGTACCCTCTGTGTACATTTTTAAACGATGACATAGGGGGAATAGTCAATGGATCTTGTTCATAAAGGTATAGTCTAGGTACATTTGTTTTCTGACTACTCAAAGCTCTTTTACACCGCAGGTCACACCTATCCATTCACACCCATTCACAGACTGATGGCAGAGGTTTCTATGTAAAGTGGCCATCCCATTCACACACATATATACGCAGCCGACGAAGCAGCAGGAGCAACTTGGGGTTAAGTGTCTTGCCAAAGGACACAATTGACATCGACCATCTGGTTGAGAGACGTCCGACTCTACCATTGAGTCACAACTGCATTGTGTTATTATAGGTGTATGACACAAATATCTGTGTCCTTCGTTGCTCTACATTATTAGTTATCAGATCACAGCAATCTTTATCATGATTTGTTGATGAATACATTTATTTTTTCAAAGCAAAGAACAAGAGATGAGAGGGATTAAAAATATAACATATATCTGTCTAAAACTTGAAATACAAGGTTAAAAACAAATGAATACTGCATATAATGTGTAATTACTCATTTCCTTTCAAAAGACAAAAACAAGTTGTTAACCTCATTCTTAAAACTCCAGTTTAACTTATTTTGTGACACAAGTTGCTTCGGGTGATGTCAGTTGGTTAAACAAAACATAATAATTGAATTCATATATTCAGGACAAAGTAATGAGAAAAGAGGGCCTCAAGGTGTGACATCACCACCTGGAGCTATGAAACACTTTAAAAGTACAAACAGAAGGTGATGTGGTCTCCTTACTGATGATGGGTGGTAAAATAATAATGCAGAGATATGGATTTCGTCTATTACTCTCATCTATTGTAAAGTCCTTATTTTTAAATAATGCATTAATCACAACATGTAAAACTATCACAGTCTTAATGCAACACAGTGCTGCCAACTTGTCCTGGACTAGTCTAAAAAGATAAAATGTTCAGTCATAAAACTTGTGAGAATTCCTAGAAACCAGAAATAGGGAGGTTTCCCATTTTTGGTAGATGTGCCCTTAGACGGTTTGTTTAATTCACATCACTGTTATATGAACTACGTTTTTCTCTGCTGTTTAGATTTCAAGAAATGTTCATCTTTAATTTTAATTTACAAGTTGATTTGAAAAACAACTGTTTGAAACTATTAAAATGTATTTTAAGCAGTAGATTGATTCCACGTCAAGGCGATGCTAATTACAGAGCTCCTCCCTGAATACAACAGAATTCAGCTAACCTATCACTATTGTAAGTGCTAAAGGAACCAACATTATAAACCCATCCTTTGGCATATCACTCCAAATCACATTTTCAATCACATATTTATAAAGTCCTAAAAAACATCCTAGCTCAAGTCCTACATTCCCCAGGATGCATTTTGACAACCATCTTGTCCTGCATGTTTATACTTAACTCTCTTTGCTGAAGGTCTCTTATCTGTGTGGAGGAGTGTGATAATAAGTGTTATCAATACTGAAAGTAACAACAGAAACTCAAAAGTTTTGTCAGCTAACAAAAAGTGAGTCTCCATAGTCAAAACACGACCTGCTCTCTGGTTGAGTTAAACTGCTGCAGCCAGACTTGTTACTTTCACTTCCTGTTTGATTCCCCACATGTTGTCAAACAGAAAACAAAGTAGGACATCCTGAACTAACGTGTGACAATTTGTATCAATGCCTTGAACAAAATGTTAGAGAATGTTCTATCACTTTAAGATAGGAAGAACCACTAAAAAATGCATTTTTCAGAGATTCCAACCCACATCTCATGGTCATATGAAGCAGATACGTTGTGCTCTGCTGTTTCTGAGACCTCTGGTTGTCAACATTTTAGGTCCATTTCAGGTCCTACATGTAAATGTTATATGCAGTAATGCCAACTGGCTCCATTGGTTGAAGAAGACCCAGAGTGAAGTCAAAGAAGTTGACCTTGAGCTACGTTTTTTTGTCACCCAGGTTCTACCTTTTTTCATGAAAATAACATCAATCAATCCATATTTATAGTGCTAAAAAACAACATTATTCAAAGCGGCAAAAGATTAACCCAGAAATGAACTAGCACTTAGCAATCAGCCATATGCTGCAACTGGTTGGGCAGAAAAAATAGGATAGAGGAAGAGACAGAAGGAATTAAACAGAAAAATAGAGCTTGACGGTCATTGAGCGGTTCAGACTAAAGCAAAGGTAAAACCTAATAATGAAAAATAAGAGCAAAAGGCATATACCTCATTTTGAACCAGACTCATTAGTGGACTGCCTTCCCGGACTGGCAATATACAACAACACATGTTATATATTTATTTGTTTTTTTTAAGTTAATATAATAACAAAATACTTCTTTCCCCCCAAATGTAACGATCCAGAATTCTGTTGAAAAAATCAGGCCATTTATGCCATGTTTAAAAAAAGCTTTTACCAGAGCACAGGAAAAGAAGCCATACAAAAGGGCAAATCGGGTCCTGGCTGCTTTGTACCTCTTATAGGATTTGATTTAAGACAAACACATATGTAACATATTAAAGATGGACTGAATGCCTAAATCTATGGATTCCCCATTGGTCTGCTCTATTCTAAAAAACGAATACTTCAGTCTCAATTTAGTCTTGTGTCTAAACCCATCCTTTGGCATATCACTCCGTAGGCTGGAACCTCAGCTGAGTCCTCCAGCTCTGGACCTTTGCCAGTCTTCCAGACAGAAAGACACTGTGCTTT